TTCTGGTCTTAAAGTTTGTAGATGACTTTTGAACAGTAACTTATTATTTGTTGAATAACAAACATCCCTTCAACTCTCTTCCTTATCATAACAGCTCTTGGACCAGGAAGTTGACGGTTGAGTTTAATGATTTCGTTTACTCATACTATGAGTGCTAAATTTGCATCATCGTCTCTTCACTCAGTGTAATTTGACCGCTATATGAATTTCTCCTTGCATTTATTTTCGCTTATGTAGTTATAAAAAGCCACAGTAGCACATCATGTTGGGCATCCTTCTCTTTAACTATGGGGGGGGGGGGGAAGGGAGGGAGAAGTGGATTTTACTCTTCGCTATGTTGAACTCACCAAAGTTTGCTAACAATTGTCTTGATCCTGTCAGTTTCGATATAATGTACAAGACATAATAAAAATCTTTTTCTTTACGAGCTGATAGCCAGTGACATAAACTTTATGATTTCTCCTATTGAGTTTACCTTCGTAAGCAATGAAACAACTGAACTCAGTGGTGAACTTCAGTCTTTTTTAGCATGTTATTGGAAGCTGTAGATTAGGTGCTTTAATAGCAGATAAGTCTCTTGAAATTTCATCCGATTTATGCGAAGTTTTTTGCCAATTCACAACACCTGTGTCGTGTGGACTTAATTCACGAAGTAATCAAAAGACTAAGCATCTGTATCACGTTAATCAGAAAAAGTCGACTATCCCAGAGATTGCAACTGGAGTTTTCGTAGTACCTACTTACTGTCGGTTGTTGTAAACTAAGGATACGGAGAAGTTATTCCAGATGAATCTATCAAAACTGTTTCTTATTTTGAAAGTTGCGTTGTTGAAGCAGACTTTGGATGGAACGTTCCGTATGTGTTACTACGCAACCACAAGTGGGTCACTGCTTATCGTTTGCGACGTGTACTTTTACAGGAAAATAACACCAACCTCGTGGAAACTATACATCCCACGCTGAAGCTGTTAACGCTGTCTGGCAAGTTGTCAGTACGTAGTGCAAAACTCAGTCCTATACTGCGTAGTGGATACAGGTTTCAGGATGCATACAGAAGTTACTGAGTGATTGCGGCAACAAACATGAACTGGGTTATCATGAAACCTTCAGTCCCATACTTGATAACCTGACTCCTGTGGCATGTTCAATTATTTAAAAAAGTATACAAATCGAAGTTGTTATTGATAGAAATTATGAAGAATACATCGTAAGGGGCCACGGGATTATTCATCGTCTACCTAGACCCCATTACATGTAACTGACGACTCTAAGTGAGGTGAAATTTACCATCTCATCAAGTACAGTATGAACAAATGAGATGATACCGTTTGGTGTTCTCTAAGCCTTCTTCGTAAATATTTCATAAACAGGTTAGGTGATTTCATCGACATTTACTTTATAAAGAAGTCACCTAGCCTGGTGATAAAACATTCAAGAACACCAAACAATGATCATCTGCATCCTGAGCTACCAACCTCCTCTATTATCTCGAAATGATATTGTTTAAAGAATTCAGAAAAAGCTTCATAGTCAAATGATGAATGCTGCTACTTCTAATCCTGAAATCAGTATAGAATTGATGAAACTAGGAACAGGATATTTCTTGCTATAAACGGATTCACTTCACTTAGTGAAAATGATTTCAAAGTCACAATTTCCATGTAATGAAATCTTCTACACAGTAAATCACACTTAGATTTCGATACATATTGAAATTTTGTATCAAATGCATGTTTTATGAAATAAATTCCTTAAGGAGAAATCGTTTAATTCACTGTATTTATTTTATACTTAGCTTGATAACTACACAGCGATTTGAGTTTGTTTCGGTCTTTATTGACATAACAGTTGACAATAAAAATGCGATTGAAACATTTAACTGAGTAAATTAACTTATTTGTATTTAGTTTCATGGTTTAAAATCATACTCATCTCATCGATGTGATTAATCTTGTCCGGCAAGACTGCACTATTCCTCTAATTTAAATAAGTTATTATAGGGGGGGGGGGGGGTGTTAACTGGACTTCATTCTACTCAATGTTTTTGTATATTTCGTGACAGACATACGGAATCAACGTAGAACCTGGCACATAAATGCATCGGCTCAAGTTGCCACACTCTACAGTAGACTACAAAGAACAGGTGGACACAAAAGGGTGATCTCAAAGTTGTATGAGAGAATAAAAGATGTGAAGATAACGGTTAGTACAAGCTGTAGCGTGACATACTTCTCCAAAATCAATAGCCTAGGGTTCGATGAGATTCAACATTGATGCTGACCTTCATAGTTTTATCGAACTCGCTAAGCTGAAGGCATGCGGTCAAGCATCCAGGCCATTTGGCACGCTGTCGTTTTACTTTGCACTTCTAATAATCGATCCTCTAGCCAGCTAGTCGGAACGCATTGGTATTTTGGCAACACCTCGCAAAAATACTACTCCATCTGACTAGGCTGTGTTCTTCCTTGGTCTCGTATTCGTGGTATATTACAAGTACAAATAATTAGTGATTGGCCTCTAAGTCTGTCAAGTTTGCGCAAGGACAATTCCTAAAAAGCTTTAGAAGATGTCAGAACATGAATACATCTGCACCATTGCGACTGGTTTTCAACTGTGTCACCAACCCCTGGTTCTTATCATCTTGGGGACTCTCTACACGGCTGAGAGCAATCATCAGACACTTCATCGACTGCTGCCAATTTTCGCTCTGGCCACTCTGAACCCTTTTCCAACCAAACCCAACTTCCCCACCAGCATAGCGCGTCGAGATAGGGGGTGGATCGGCATGGGTATCATATGTCGAAGCCATCTCAGCCGATGAAGGTTCACAACTTTCTCAATCGACTTGCCTAGTACCCTTCATATAACTTCAATATTGCTCACACAGTGGTCCCACCATATGCAAGCGATGCTACGATCGGAATCCTGTAGCCTCTTCATGTTTTCTACTTTTAATGACCATGTCTCACAGCCATACAACAGGACAGAACAGACTGCAGCGCAGTACACTCGTCCTTTGATTGCCAGTCGGTAGCACATATGAAGTAAATTACCAAATGTCAAACGACTTCACTTGAACCCTAAAATTCTGTCTGGGGTTCTTGAGGACATAAGATGCCCATGCCGATCCACCGCCTGTCTCGACGTGACATGCTAGGGGACGTTGGATTACGTTGCAAGAGGGTCCGAAGTGGCCAGAGCAAGACTTGGCACTAACCGATGAAGTCCCTAACTGTTAGTCTCAGCCGTGTGGGGAGATGTAGACTACCTGGTTGCGTCCTCTAAGACGATGAGAATCAGTGGTTGGCGACTCTTGATGACACGGCTGAAAATCAGTCACAGTGGCGCAGATGTATTCACTCTTTGGCGTCTTCTAAAGCTTGAACATTCACACTAGTTTTTTATCTTCCAGTTGTTTATTCGCTGGCAAAATCTCGTCTACCTCGATATCAGTTATTTTCTATCCACTTATTCTTTACATGCTACTGTGAAGTGTAGCGACTCGAGCTGGTGAACTTTAGTACGAGTTCCTACGTTGACCTTTTCTGTCTATCGATCTATTTTGTTCTATATCAAGTTTACGAGATTGAATTTTATGCTTTTAACTTCGATCCTGATGAAGGATTCGATACATTTTTTGTGATATGAGATTTTCAGACTGAATTTTTGTCGCTAACTGGTTTATATTAGGCATTAATGTGATACGATCATTGATGCTGGTTTTTCTACACGTTTTCAGCTCCAATGCAAAATACAAATGAATTAAATTTGTGAAAAATTCACAAAAACTACTGCCTTTTATAGGGAAATAAAGTCAGTTTGCGATTCATGAGATTTTTTTTAATTTTAAAGCAAGAAATTTGATTGTCTTTATTCATTAGGAGCGTCACACTGTCATCTTGAATAATACAGAGTCCATGCACATAACCAAGTATGGACCGATATACATTAAAGGAAAGTTAAACTCAGTTACCGAGCATAAGTTTTTTTACCAGGCTGTCAGACACAATTGATGTATGAAGGTTCATAATCCTATCACACCGAAGTAGGTGTAAGTGATAATATGAACCCTAAACTGAAGGGTTGGAAGTTGAGTGATCAATCTAAATGATTCAGGTTTCTACATAGATGCAGCCTTGTATAGACCACAGCCTTGCTTGGTAGTTCAGAACATAGAAGGTAGACTACAGATACGAAAGACAGAAGATTGCACAGTGACTTTAGGAGATAATCTAGAGAAGGATGAATAGTGTTGGGAAATAAAACAGAGTTATTCTTTATGGTATGAAATCAATTTGCTGATGATCAACTTATTCAGACAGAAAAATTAACGTAAAATGTGACACTTTCAGTTACCACACTGCGCAGCAACATGCAAAGAAATGGAATCAAAAAAAGACATTCTAGTCGAGAGAGAAGTAAGAAATAAATAAAGGTTAATAGCGATGTTCAAGTCCTCGATGATAAGGAATGTGTTCATTCACATGACTGTAACCGATTTGAGCCATAGCACCAGCCAGACAGCTAACACGTCAAATACCAATAGTCAGAGATTGAATAAAGTAGAGCCACATTTTTGGTTTAGTTACGTTTAAGCTTTTAAACAGCATAATCCCATTTTGGTCAATATCACTACTTTCAAAAAGGCCATAAATACCATGCATTTTTCATGATTATCATACTAATATGAAACACCTGAGTTTGTTGATGTTCACTCACCTCTACTTCTCTTCTTCACTCAAAGAACGTCGCCACTACAACATGCAACCCATAACATCTAGTCATTTATTTGTAGGAAACATTAAAAACCTAGTGAGTACAAAGCACTCCACTTATAATATTGTAGAGGTTTCTCAGATAAAGTACATGTGCTATTTACATGCCATCACCTTTCAAGTATACAGGAATCTGTCATACTCTTATCCTTTTGAGTAAATTTCACCCACCTTATTCAACATTTACGCTAAGTGGAACGTGAATAATAAATCAAAACTCATATTACGAGTAAGAAAAACTTTTTAAAAATAGTAAATAATAGGTTTCAAGTAAGCTGAATCATATGATTTTAAGTATGACGTGGTCGTTTCAATTTTGAACCCTTCGATTTCATCGGTCGTCTATTAGATTGACCACTTTGTTTCAGTTGATTCCAATGCTTATCACCTCGTTCACGTTTTCGACTAAAACCACTTTGAGAATTTAAACGTTTCTCTTGCCAAAATTGTTGTCGTTTCTCCTTACCAGTTTGTTGTAAATCATACAAATGACCAACCTCTTCTGCACTGGCAAGCAAATTGTTCAGATTGAATTTTCTGAAAAATATTTTTTTAAATATGTTAAATATTATTTTAGTGTTGGATTTATTTTCAACATAGTCTTGGTATAGTATAAACAATAGGAAAAAGATTTCACACATGTAAAGATTCCTATAACATTGATAAAAAGCAACAATCTGGACGAAGAATATTCTTTCCAATAAATATTCTCTTCAAGTTCTATACGATAAATAAAATGCATTTGCGTAGCGTGAAATCAAGGCAAGTTGTCAGTAGATACATTTTCGTAATCGAGTGAGATTTAAAGACTGTAAGGCAATTGACTTTTCTTTTGTCAATATTACGATGGCCTATATAAAGATGAATGACGTGATAGTGATCAAGAAGATGACGAATAACGAAGATAGGAGTCGTGTTTAGTTTACTGAAGGCGAAGGAACGAATAATATTTGAATATTTTCTTGCTGAATGCATAGTTTATGCTTGATCAGTGTTATTACGATAGCGTCTACTATGTTGAATTGAATTATTCTAGTGATCATTAGTGACTTGCTTCGAGATGAGATTCTTGAAGTTCTAATCAGAAGTCGTGATCGGTGGAGCTAACTAAGTCGGATGTGACGACAACATTGGATGGAGGTCGTATTGTATCATGAACTGACAGAAGTAGGAAGTATGGACCATTGAATTTCGACCCAGTGGCTCAATGGTAGCATCCTGATAGCGGAACCTGTAGGTCCTGAGTTCGATCCCTGGTAATGTCATGGGTGCGTACTGTTGAGGACTATCCAATGTTCCCAGGTTTTTGATGGTTCTCCAACTGATGTCAGTCAATGATGAATACCAACTTAGTGAAACGTTAGCAAATTTATAGTCGTATGCTTGTGACACCTGGTGATTAGCTGGAATATAAGATTCGTGGCTTATACAATCTAGGATTTGTGAAGAAAATCTACTGGTGCCCCGAGTTGATTTCGTTATAAAAACCTAGAGGTTCAAGATCCAGTTTTTTTTAATTGAATGAGATCAAGTTAAGATTTTCAGTTTTAACTGTAGTAACATGAAAAATAGGATGGTTGATAAAGTTGGGCATAGTCAGCTATTTAAAAAATAGCAGAGATTGGCCACAAGAGGTTTGGTTTACCTAAAAAGTCCAAATTAGCTTGAAGACATAGTCCAATTTTGAGTTATTAGAGTTACCTGTACCAGTCGACAATGAATCATTGAAACATTGAGTTAATTTCTTTAAAAATTGAATAGATAAACATTTTTTATTATTTCAGTGAATGCGCGTATGTATGCATGTTAAAAACAGTCTATCATTGGTATTGAATTTTTAAACGGCGTATATTTCAAAGCCACATTACACAGAATTAATGCCACCTGGAACCTTATAGTTCAAAGAAAGCCTTGTTCTGAATATTACCCCTTTAGTAAGTAATATGACAAAATCAAATCAGGAAATAACCACATCAGAAAAGCTATCATGTGCCTTGACAACAAAACCAATCTATATAACTTCGACTAAAACCATTGTCCGAAAAAGGTCTAAGTGTACATCACAAGTATCTCATTAGTGGCATGTTGAAGAGAATATTCTATTGACTTGTGCGTAACTCTGTTGTTAGCATTAGCACTGACCCCACCGTCTCACCGAAAAAAACCATCAACTCACCACAAAAAATCTACGATGATAAACTAAGCTCTTCACTTCAACTAACTAGATTACTTTGAGAAAGTTGATCTGAAATGAAGTCAGTAGATACAGATAATTTGGTTTGATTGCCTACACACTCCCATTATTTTACAATACTATCGTATTAACAATAATACTTCGATTTCTCCATTAACTAGTGAATTCACCTTTCACAGAGTCAGGAAATGTAAACCATCAAATAAAATTGTATTCAAAAACAATTTATGTAGATTCATTATAGGAAAAGAAATTTTAATAAAACCAGTTTCATTAATTAACTCGCATATATTAAGCTTTCTTAACTGTATACTTTCCAAGTAAGCAATTGCAGATTAATCATTCCCTCGATAAAATATAAACATTGTACGATATGCTGGACAATAAACAGATTGTCGATAGTATCAATCTTATATATTTACAGTTTATAACGATACCTTGATAAATGACTAGAAAGTTTATGAACTAAAGACACACACACACATACAAAGACAAATACTGTTACCGGAAATGTAGACTTTTAAAGCAAACAACTTGAGTAAATAAATAAACTTAGATCAATATATCAATTTGAAATGATCACCAGAGAAAAATAGAAAGTTTAAAAGAGAAAAAAAATACTCTAAAGTCTGGAAAAATGGATATCTTGAACGAAGATATTTTTCTAACAATGGAACAATATACTTATTTCTTTTTCAGTAGGCAGATTTATGCCTGCGGAAATTGCTGACCTAATTGTATGAAATTCAGGTTGTAGATAGTAAAAATATACCCCGCTCCCCTTCCGTATCAAGATTAGATGAGCTAAAATATAATCAAAGCGTTGAATATACTTTACCCGAATGACTTAAAAATTCCTTAAGAATAAGACATTACATAAGGTGAATGGCTTTGAAGCTTAGTCTAGCAACTGCTGAAATAGTGAATCAAGTTTTCGTACTTTAACTAAGGTAGTTCTTTCATAAAATAGAGAAATGTAATCGGTTATCTCAGCAGTTGGGTTAGGGTGATCTTTAAAGTCACTCACCTTATCCACTGTCATATTTTTAGGGAGTCTTCACCTAATGTTGGTCGGTGAGCAAAATAATTGATATATCAGGATATGAAATAGAAGCAATAACAACCTATTACTAATATAATATAAGAGTAAAACATGGGCACTGTATTATTATTATACTACTTTTCCCTTGGGTTCCTAGTCGAACATAGGGCTTCAGTAGCACGTCGCCATTGCACTCTCTCCTCTGCAGTCTTTTCAACCAGGCTCCACGACTGCTCAAAAGCTTTCATTTCTTCCTCACGCCATCTCCTCCATGTCACCCTCGCCTCAGACGCCCAACTCATTGTTTCCCTTTTGGATTTTACTCGACGGCCTGGCGCTTGATGTCCCCAACCAGTCTTCTCAGTGTATGCCCAATCCAATCCATCTCCACTTTCTCCTTCTGCATACACGTTGGGCGATAGGTTCTTGGTTGGTTCGTTCCCACACTTCCTTGTTACTTATTCTTATTATTCTGGCCATCTGATCTTCAGTATCGAGCATGTTGTCTGTAGAATTCCTCCTTCTTCTCTTCATCTGCATTATTTGTTGGCGCGTAGCATTGAATGGTTGTGACTTTCCTCCCTTTTGAGTTGGATCTAGCTGTCATGATCCTGGAGTAGACTGGTTCCCATTGTATGAGAGCCTTCGATGTTTTTGGGGAAATTATGATAGTCACTCCCTCCGTGTGCTCTTGGTTGTCGTCGGGGTGACCGGAGTAAATTATTGATTCACCCGTTGACAGTTTGAAGAGTCCACTTACATTCCATCTGCAGATTCCTCGTAGATTCCAAGCACTTCCATGCCATACCTCCTCATCTCGTTTGCAATCTGGGCAGCCTTGCTAGGTTTATACATGGTGCGGATATTCTATGTCCTCATCTTTGCTTTCAGTTTCATCGAGAGGAGACACATCGGCCGACTGGCTTCCCGAAGGCTCTCACCAACTGGCGTCATTTCATCTTTCCGATTCCAGCGAGGAATAAGTTTGTTTTATGTTTTATACTTTCTTTGTGCTTTGAAGTTTGTTTAGCGATTGGATTGGCTTTACGGAGTAGGGTTGCTAGCCCTATGCCCAGGCTTCCCTGTTAATCTGCGCTTATGACCGGCTAGTAACTAGTGAACTAGTTAACCATACGAGGTATGGGTACTGTAGTTGATTGTAATTCCATTTCAGTCCGTTTATTAGAAATATCACAGTGGAACAGCAGCACTTACTGCGTAACGTTTCGGACACATTTTATTGTCCATATTCATATCAGGTATGAATATGGTATGATATGATATGAATATCGACAATAAATTGTGTCCGAAACGTTATCCAGTAAATGCTACTGTATCACTGTGTGATATTTCTAATAAACAGACTAAAATGGAACCTATTACTAAGCAACAGAAAGGTCACCACGTGGCATGATCAGTATACAGAACCTTTGGATATGGAATGAAAGGTGAAATAATTTAAGAGAGTGTAATAGCCAACACTAAGCACTATTTCCTGTGTTGACTGCAGTCGACTGAACAAAATATCCGCATTCCACATATCTCGATGCAGAGTATTTCGCTATCGGAATCAGAATCCACTTGGCAACCCTGTACACATTTGTGCAGTAGGTAATGAGCCAAATCTATTATGCGAGGGTCAATCATACTACCTGGCAGCCCAAACTTCGATAGGTGGAGTAGGGTTCGAAATCGCGACCCATTTAAAAACAATCCCTTTTAAACCACTTCACTACTTTGCCATGCTAAGTATGGTGGACATTTTCCGGATGATCAGACGAATTATAGACAGAAACTTTATTACTATCCTATCAGTTGGAGAGTAGCATCTTTAAAGGCAGCATTGTTAATGTATCTCAGAGGGGAGGGGATCTTTCACATGACCACATATCTTTTGCATATGAATGACAAGCAGAATAAGACACCGTCATTTCACACTCACTGATCAATAGATTCCAACTATTATTGAAGACTACATAATGTGGCATTGGTTACCACGAAAGCAACCTATTCCTTTACGCAACTGTATTACTAAACAATAATACAAATAAAGATATAAACAATCAGTTGCCACACACTCACCCCGATTTGTCGGGAATATCATCATCATCACCGTCTGAACTATCATCACTATAATCTTCCTCCGCCTCTTCTTCACTGTCTTCATCACCTTTTTCATCGTCATCATTATCATCTTGGAACTTATGATAAACACTTTTCGAATCAGCAGATTTTTCCAATTTATTCACTTTTGCAACGGCTGATGAGTCTAGATTATCCATTTCTAAAGGTATTAGACAAAAATAATAATAATATCCACAGTCTGAAAAGCCATTGGGACTTGACATGGTAAAAAAATATCGGACTCAACAAAAGCCATCAAGGTAGATAAATACAATCAGATGGCTAAATTCGTTTCAAGTATGTGAATATTTACACAACTAGAACGGGATTCAGAACATGCATTAATACTTTAAGAGTTAACGAACAATAAGTATCTTGGTAGAATTGTCCAATCCCTTGACACTACCCGCTGTATTGGCTTTTAAATGACAGAGAGGGGAGTATATCCAGCTGATGAGTCCCAAATAGGACGAGACGCGCATCCTGGATTCTACTGATAGCCACTATCAATCATTAATGACAAGAATATTTGAAATAATTACATTCTACGTGTATCAATAGATAACTTCATTGAAAAGTAGTACAGTAACAGTGAAGTAGTATAATAATAAATGTGACACATTTGTGATATTTTCCAAGGCATCACACTTTGCAAAAGCATATAGACGGGAATAAATTATTACATGGTGAAGATAACAACTTGGTCAACTCAACTGATTGGTAAGAGTTTACCTAATCTAATTCGTTTACACTCAAGCATCTCTCCACGGTGAAAATAAACCCTGATGATCAGGTAATTAAAACATCATTCATTCATTCACATAAGTCATATCACATACACAGAGCTAAATGATATACTTTACATTTAAATCATGAGTAGAAAACTCAGCAACTAGCATTAAAGATATTGCTCGTAAGTAGTGAACTTGCCCAATATAAGCAGAAATACGAATGAACAATAAACTCAAACACTTGTTAACGGTAGAGTGATAGATTGAGTAACGTATCCTACTGCAATAATACACTCTTCAGTGTTTTGGAAGCACTAAGCATGTACCGATACTTTTCGTCCTTTAAGCAGGGTATACATATGACAAAGGATCACTCACAACTAGGCAGTACAGTAAGTTGATGGTTAGTTTCATTGTGTTACACTTCAACTGACGATTCTCCGTGGAAGTTGAGCCAATGCATGGAGTTATGAACAAGAGAGATAACTTTGTACTATATCAAAATCTATACAAGCTTTTTAAGAATTTCAAATTGGTATTCATCATAGACTGAACATGAGTTGGAGGACCATTGGAAACGTGGAGGCACTGGAAAGCTGTTACTTCCTAATATGGGACTCCTCAGAAGTGCGCACCCATGACCCCGCCCCGCCAGGGGTCAAACCTAAGACACTCAAGTTCCGTGGCCACCACGTTACCATTGAGCCAATGAGTTGGAAGCTAGTACTATTTCCTACTTTTGTCATTTCAGGACATAGTGTGACCATCGCCCAATGTCATCGTTGAATATTTATCCTCACGTCTACCAGGTTTGCTTCACCGGTCACAACTTTTCATTGGAACCTTAAGAATCCCCTATCAAAGCGAGTCACCAATGAGGATTAGATGAATTCAGTTTGGAAGTTTTGGGGGACTTATTGATTTCAAACTGGTATTCATTATGATCCCACCAGGGATCATAGATGTCAGCCCATGATGAATAACAAATTGAAATCAATAAATCCCTACAAACCCCAAAATTGAATTTATAGGAATCACTTGAGAAAATGTAATCATATTATATAAGGAGACAATGAAGCTTACCTGAAAAGTCATACTCTTTTGTTTCAGTTTCATCCTCTGAATTATCCATAAACTCATTGTCACTAAACTCTGGTTCATCTGTAAATTTTAAGGAAAAAAAATGCATTTATGTGAATTAAGGACTTTAAAGTATATCAAGATAAATTTAATTATTGACTAGAAAAGAAAATTGTTAATTTTGTGATATGTCACGAATTCACATAGCAGTCGGGTGAAACATTTAGTGATTGAAAAGTGAAATCAAAATGTGGTTAGCTGTCAAGTCTCGTAGCTCAGTTGGTACATAATAGGGCTCGAAGCCCTATGGTCGGTAGTTTAAATCCTGTCCCAGACCAAATTTTCACTTCACCTTCAATCACCAACCAATATCAATTCTTTACGAGACAGTTTTATAAGTACAAAAGAATAGACAAGTATGCATAAGCAATTAAGCAGCTGCACTAGTTATATTGTTGATGTCAGAATACCGTAAATACCATCCTTATGACTGGATGGTGTAAACAATGGATTTAAATTCTGGAAATGCAGTTCCATTTGAAAAATATATTGATTGACAACTAAGTTATTCAGAAAACGGTTTATAGTTCAAAAACTTTGAGCAAACTCTTAATTATGTAGATATTTCCCAGTGACGATTACTACAGTTGAGACTACTATGAAAAGCCAGTTTCAAGGTAGTAATTTGTTGAACTTTTTTAACAGTCCTGTGTTAATTTACTTACTTACTGGCTCATAATTATTCACCTACAACAAAACATCAAGCACACAAAGATATTAACGTAGAACCTGGCACACAAGTGTATCTCATCAACTGGTCATATACTTCAAAGTAGAATACAAAGGAAGTGGGATTGGAAACGACTGAAATTCATGCAAACAAAAGTCTATGAGAGAAGAGAGAATAAGTAGCCAAAGGCTAATGAAAATATTCAGGACTAACAAAATGACAAGGCGAATAAAGATCTGAGCAATTATGACCCATTTGGTACCATATTACAACGAGTGTCTCATAACTGATTTCTATTGGCTCAAGGATCCCTGGCAGACAACCTATATGGCTAAGAGATCAATAATGGGAGACAAGAAGCATCATGACAAGCACAAGATCTAAATGCTTGACCTTTCCGTATCTAAGTTTGCGTGTCTTTTACGAATAAATTGAGTTCCTTTGTTTTACTTTACTTCCGCTTTTACCAACAAGATTTATCGTGAACTCACCACCGTATAGGAAAGGAAAGTGACAACTGCAACACAATATAAATATTTCCTGTAATCAGAAATACAGAACTTGATCACCAATGAGATTTCGAGTAGCCCATGAAATAGAAATTTTCTAGTTGGACTCAGTCAAGAGTTTAACAGATAACCGTTTACCAGGTAGATAGGAGTAGTATACGACTTCTAGAAAACTGATTACGAAACAGAAGAGACCGACGAAAGATGATAAGATGTTGAAGATTTTTTGCACTGCGATTGACTTTGAATCATATTTATTGGGGACAATAGATAGGAAGTCCATAATCCTTAAAATGATATACATCAACAATCAGTGATTCTATAGGAATAGTGTCATGTTATGAGCTGACCTTTTCTCCTAAAATCCATGTAGATTCCATTATTATTATGATTACTAATTAGAACACAAACTTGGTACATCACAAGCACCAAGAAATGCACCACACAAAATGATATAACAAAATCATGAAGACATAAGCCGAAGGGAAGTGGATAAAAATAAAACCTAATAGGAATACAGGAAGGCAGTGCAATAAGATCCACTCAAAACAAAAAATTCATTATTTTTCAGCAACAGAAGATAGAAGGAAACTACAGCATGACCGCCACTGGTCTCGATTTTAAGCCATAACTGATCACTTCTCAAGCCAATCAGTTGCGTCGTCTCTCGGACCCCACCCAGAGTCGTGATGCACCAACAGATAATAACCCGATACAACTAACCTTCATTCCACGGTGCCACGCCACATCATACACTCATCATCCCTTCGCTTCTTCCATCCAGTCTCAGGGCTAGAGAACAATGAACGGTATGGAAGCCATTGGGACGACATTTGTAACACATGTCCAAGCCACCGAAGTCGGTGTTTTCAGATGACTTCACTTACTGAATGACGATCTCCATCACACCAAAATACACGCTGTCGAACCTCAGAATTACTTACACGGTGTTGCCACGGATAAAAGCAATCCTACGGAGAAAATGATGATTGAACACAGAGTTCGCACGCATCCTTGGCTAGTAGAAGCCAGATTTCACAGGTGTAGAGTAGAACTGTTCTAACCGAAGCGTTGTAAATTCGATCTTTTAAGGTCAGACTAACGTCACGACGGCACCAACGGTGACCCAGATTGACGTATGCCACTCTGGCTTTTGATATGCGGTCTGTAATTTCACCACACACAACTACCCAGATACACGAACTTTTAGACTACTTTCAACGGCTCACCACCACCAAGAGTGAGCGCAGGGACAGGTCCCGGCCGATCTTGCAAAGGTACTTTGCACTTTAGTGGTGCATACCACATACCATACTTACAGACACTAATCGCCAACTGATTAAGTGCGACTTGAGCAACCTGTGTTATTGCACGGTAAGACGATATCGTCTGCATATTCAAGGTCGAATAGCCGTTCTCCGGGTGGTAGATCTAAACCATCACGACGCACTTCCTTCAGACCTCCCTCAAGAATGTTATCGACGGCAAAGTTAGGGAGGAGTGGAGAAATCAAGCGATCCTGCCTAACTTCACTGTTGTAGACTCCTACTAGCACCACAATTTAGTGCAAGGATCGTTTAGAATAAGTAGTAAATTTCAATTAATTTTCAAGGCACGGATTTCCTACCTAACTGAATTCCTGTTCTTTTCTGAGACATCACTTTCAGCTCTCCTTATTCAGTAGCTCCACTACACACTAACAATGTTACCAACACAGCTACATGCACAAAAGTTAGAGTATATCACCGCATCTTTATCAGTATTCGAGTGACTGGTTGGTGGTGTAGTAAGTGTAGTGGTATTCAGAATTACTCAAAGGTTTGGTTGATTGAAAACTCCCTACCAAAGTTTATATGACTGCCTGAATCTGAATAGCCGACCAAACTATAAATGATGCACCCTTATTGAAAGCAAACAGCGGCGATGATAACTCAATAGCCTAGTGGATGACGCTCTGGCGTTTAAAGTGGTGAGTTCTCGGTTCGAGTCCCACTGAGAACATCACTCACTGGGAAGCAGGCAAACCCAACTGAAAAGTTTCTGCATTCCACTGCTAGTCACTACCCAGCATTACTATCAAATGTTTATATACAGCTGATACGAGAAATCAAGAAATTCAAGCGATAACTTGTGACCCATGTGTGATTTGATGGTATTTTTTTCAATTATCCCAATATGCTTGAATGTGGAAAATGTCTATTAATACTGGAAGATTCATATCAAAATAACACATTGGTCACAATACCTAAACTGAGTTTGGGGGGTTTGTGGCGATTTAGAGATATTTCAAGTTGGTATTCATCGTAGACTGACATCAATTGGAGGGATAATCGAAACCTGGGAGTACTGGACAGCTTTTTCGTCCTAGTACGGGACTCCTCAGCAGTGCGCACCCACGACCTCGCCAGGGATCCAACCCGCGACCTTCAGGTCCTGTGGCCAACACGTTGCCATTGAGTCACTAAGTCGGAATCCAGTGGTCCATATTCCCAACTTGTCAGTTCACGACATAGCGCGGCCGCCCCCCGTTGTCATCGTTGAGTATTTGTCCTCAAAGCCAACAGGTTTTCTCCACTAGTCACGACTTCCCACTGGAACTTCGGGAACCTGAAGGTTGCGGGTTCGATCCCTGGCGGGGTCGTGGGTGCGCACTGTGAGGAGTCCCATACTAGGACGAAACAGCTCTCCAGTGCTCCCAGGTTTCCATTATTCCTCCGACTGATGTCGATCTACGATGATTACCAACTTGAAATACCTAAACTGCCATGAATTGGACGCCAGCTGTATACTGGTATGGATTGGGAAACTAGGATGAAATGGTTTTCGAGTGTTCTCCTGTTTTAATCTGGTCTATTGGCATCAATAACATCAGTAGTAACCTGTATTAAATTGGTGGTAATCCAACATAAACAATCATCATAGATGATACTGCGTTTAGAAATGCATGTGACCAATATAAAATTTTATGGAAGAAAAGCCAACCAACATCAAGTGAGTGTTGTTAGTACAAAAAAAGAGCATACCATCACTTTCCCACTCTTCTTTTGATGGGAACAGACTTTTTTCATGTTTTTCTGTAAGATTTGAAAAAAAACATAAACAAGTGAAGAAATAATAATAATCACAATGATTCATTTTAGAAACTAAACAATAAGCTGAATCTGTATGCAAAATAATGACTACTCGTTGCAAGAAACACTTGTCAGTCAGCCAGTGAAAAGAAGTTAAAGGCCAAACGTACTGTGCCACACTTTTACAAACCAGAAAGTGAATATATACAACAGAGGTAAACAGCAGGATGGTATTTAAAGTGGGCTAACCATTGATAACAGCTAGCTAACACCATCCCTTTATCAACAAGAAGCGAATATGAAATTTAAGAAATGCCAAAGCAAGTTACTCGTTAAGGCCAAATCAAAATGACATCTGGCATTACTGTGTAACAGTGAAAGTTGTCACACCTCAGATCACAGTAGAAGGGACCAAGATGAAAGATAAAGGAATAAGGATGGAAGTTATCAAAAGTAGAAAACAGTTTGATGGAGAGAGTAAGAGGAGGTAAAATAACACAGAAATCCGATATGACAGACAAAACCAAAGTAAAACCTGTCACATGAATGCATCGGTTTAAGTTGTCATACTTTACAGCAACATGCAAAGAACAAGTGAGTAGAAGGAGAGTGATATCAAAATAGACAGAAGTGTGTGGCAGAAAGAATTCGAAAATCAAGATCACTAAAAAAGTCCAAAGGTTTTCAGTTATGTCATCAAGGTTCTCCAACCACAGATTCCCATTATCTCCACGACCCCAACCAAACAGTCTACACCTCATCACACAGCTCAAACCGACAGTCGAAGACTGTATGGGCTAGTGCCACATCTTGATCTGGCCATCTAGAGCTTTCTTCGAATCGAATCCAACTGCGGTTGACATTGCATACTCAAGTAGGCGGTGGTTCAGCATGCGCAAAGCATGTTTAAGCCACCTCAGTCGATGATGGTCCAAAAACTCATTCACTGACTAACCTATCCTGTCTAATACTCTTCAATAAGCACCAAAATTGCTCATATGGTGATCCGAAAATGCGTGGAAAATACTGCGACTGTATACATAGTCAAAAACCTGGAATCCCTTCACATTTAAATTCAATGGCGATGTCTCACATATACATGATGGGACACAGCGGACTACAGCGCAGAATACTCGTTCTTTGATAGGTAATCGGGTATCCAATTGGTGCCTGAGGTTGGAAGAGGGTTCAGGGTGACCATAGCAAGAGCTGGCACCAGTCGATGAAGTCTCTGACGGTTGGTCGCAGCCGTGTAGGGAGATGTAGACTAGCTGGTTGGTGTCTCCAAGACGATAGGGATCAGTGATTGGCGACTCTTGATGATATGGCTGAAAATCGGTGATAGTAACACAGATGTATTCACCGTCTGACCTCTTCTGAAACTTGGACATTCACACCAACCGTTATCTTCACATCTTTTATTCTCTCATATAACTTTGCCTAGTTTGAGATCACTCTTTTGTGTCCACCTGTTCTTTGTATGCTACTGTGAGGTGTGGCAACTTGAGCCGATGCACTTGTGTGCTAGATCCTACATTGGTTGTCTCTGTCTGCTTGCCAGAGGTGACGTAAGTTTGCGAATCCGAAATGGGCCTCGTATATCTGAGCTGAGACTTCTTCAGCAACCAAATCTTTCGGGCTGATGCGAAATGCCAAGTGAGTGAAGTGGTTAACATAATATAACACTTTACACCCTATCCTAAAACTGTGAGTAGTTGCAAATCAGTCCTGAAGAATCATCTTACATTTGACAGGTATGAAACATATACCAAATGTTTCATGGACTGATGCCATGTTTTAGTCTGGTAGCCTCTAACATTTTGGCAACAGTTTGAAGTTGGGTGGGGAGAAATGCATCTCAAACATTCTCAAACTGCCACTTAATGTGTCCAGAAGACTCTGCATCCTGTCAGCATCTTCACCTAACAGGAATGTGTCATCTGCATACTTCAGATCTACTAAGGGGTCACCTGTGACAGAAGTAATCCCTATGAAGTCAAACGACGAAACAGACATATCCATAAACACGTCTACAAAAATCATTAAACAAGAATGAAGGGAGAGAACGTCCATGACGGATACCATTCGAGGTGCACAACTCACCTGATAATTCAATAGGCTCTGACATGCCCATTGGTATTCTATTACAGAGCCATCAGCAGAGTGATGTGCTTACAGACACCTCTTTCAAAGAGATACTGCTATAAGATCTCTTCATCGACAGATTGCCATGTCACCTGGAGGTCGAGAAATACAGCAAGTGTCAAACGCCGGTAAGTGTGCCTGCGTTCTAGAAACTGGCGGAGGGGGATGTCTAGTCGATACTCTCATGATCAGGTTGGAAATTTGTCGGGTTTTCTTGAGTTTGTTGTTTACCAGACCCAATAAGATGTCGCTAATAGTATTAGGACCTAGAATCTTAGACAATATGTATGTAACACTGATTTCTTTGTGGTTATCAGAACAGAAATCTGGTCACTGTATAGACTTCTCGTCAGTCTACATTTCAGTTGCTTCTGTTCCGCATATTATACAGATCCTGCAGGAATGCATTCACGTACATTATGAATTCAGGAAGAGCTGCTAAATCCATGAATCCCTTCTAACCTTTCCCTGAGAGTCAATCACAGTCCTTAACTCCGTTTTTACACCAGATTGGAGATAATACTCCCCTTCGTCTGTCCAATTACAATAGTTGTCTAGTCAACATGAAATCGAAAGATAGGCTGTATATTATTTCGGTGAACGCAACTATCCTTGTTTATCAGTTTGTCCCTCTTCCTTCTTGAATAAGTTTTCAAGCGTAAAACATATATAAGTAGCTTTGTTTGACACTAGACATAGTAGCTTATTCTAATAACTTAATTAACTACCCATCCCGTCGCTCAGAGCTAGCTAAATTACGATCAGTTTATAAAAAGGTTAAATGTGATGGAACTAAAACGGAGTATTAGTTCTATTTATTGATATACTTGCAATTCTCCGTTGTTTCATTGGATCGGATTGTTCGACCTCTATTGGCATATGGGCTCCTGTGCAGATGCCTCGATATTGCTTGAATGTCAATTATGGTAATTTGGTTGCGGCTAGCGGCGGAATCCAGGACTCGTCAGCTGGATGTACCTGCACCCCAGTGAGTGATGCTGTTCCCACACAGACTTGAACCTCGTACTCATTGCTTCAAAAGCCAAGGCGTTGTCCACTATGCCACGGAGGAACGATAGCCGCTTCTTGTACAACGCGTAGTAGTTATTACTATTTATTAGTATACTTGTAATTCTCATGAGTTCTCTGACAGTTGTCTTGAGCCGTACATGCTCTTAGGTTCTACTCATCATGACAAACAGAATCGATCGTTTGAAACTTCGAGTTGACTACAGTGACAGGTGTATCAACACAATATCTTCATTCCAATCGTCATATAGATTACCGTTATATGCTTCACTTTTTTTATAGATCGCTACTACTTTTGAATAGATGAACTCTAGTTTTCAGTCTAAATTTTGTTGCCTTGCAGTTTGATAAGCTGATATTAGATGTGGCAGTGGTCCCACGTTGATATGAATATGAGCAATGAATGCTGCTCGAAACATCATCCAATAAATTATGCTGTATCGCTGTGTGCTACATCAAATAAACAATCTAACATGAAACTACATTCTACGTGTCCAAGTTTTTCTCTTACATTACCGGTCAATGTCACATTCTCCAACCGCCGTTACTTTTGGAGTGTAGGCCTTGTTTAGTGGTATCACTACGTAAGTAACACAGAAGTCAGGTGTTGAGTCTTGGGCACAAGAAGAAGTCAGTCGATGAGGTTGTTAAACTTTATCGACTGAGGTGGCTAGGAAATGTGTTACGCATGTACAATCCCCATCTACCCCGTCACATAGTATTAGCTGAATTAACTTCAGGCTGGAAAAAGGTTGGAGGCGACCAAACTGAAACATAGCATCAGTTCATGAAATCGTTGACTGTTTGCCTGAGCCGCATAGTTAAACGTAGACTTCCCGCATGACAGCTGAAGCCGATGATCGGGGACTTCAGGTGATTTGGCTCAGATTTATCCACACACTATCTTCATCTTAATCGTCATATCAAATTTTATTACTGTCTCACTTCTCCTTGTTCTCTTTCCACAACTTCCCGTCAATTTTGACTACTTTCTTCCTTATTTCTTTATTTTGGAGCTAGGTGCATTCTCTCTTGATGGGCTGATATGAGGTGTCGCAACTTGGACTATTACGCAGTAACATAAATTTCCATGTTGATGATGACTTGATCTCCATTCCTTCCCAATCGGAGTTGCGGTTATGCTCATTCATACGCATCGATATCAATGGTGACATATCATGTTGTTTGACAGCTAGTTGGTGCCCATAAATTACATTACATCTTCTGCAGGGATTTGGTTGGCATTCATTCATCCTGCTACCGAATGGGTGAAGAAACGGGTTGACAGTTTTTGAAACATCGTTGATATAAGGTAAAGTAATTTGTTATGTGGGTTAAGGTAACTATCCTGAGGTCTTTTCCGTTGATTGAATAGCATTGGTTTTGAATACTTCGCTAAAGGTGGTTTTCTACTGACTTTCATAGTTGTTGAGTGGTGCAATTAGTCTTCGCACGGGCGAATAGTGCAGGCACACAACTCTTATGATGCGTTGGCTTGCTACTATCACAGTTCAGAAAATGATTTGTATCGCCTTCTTGTACGCTTGAATTTGTAAGGTTTCGTCATGTGTTCTACTAATAGGAGCATCTAGAAACGCGATTTCGTAATCTTCTTCATTTGTGAATAAAATGCCTCTAAAGGCTTTTTTGATGGAAGTTAGTGTATTTTACAATTCAATAGTCTTGAAAGTTACAAAGTTTTGTCGAAATAACGCATCCAAATTATCGCTTTGATTATCAGAATGATTGTTGATTTTCTGCATTACTATTTCAATGATTAGTTTGGATATGGGTGACACATGACAGTTCCTGTGGTAAGTTTTTAGTAGTAATTCTCGTATACTTTCAAAGATTCTTGATAGGAAGCAGCCTAAGCCGAAATCACGACTCAAGGTCGTCAGCCACCAAGGTAAACGTTTCGAACTGTAATCCTTGGTCTCATGTTACTGTGTGGTCAGGAAAAACCTTATTGCACAATTTTGTCCTCCAATTAACCAATCAAAATAACTGTCCAACCTCTGACCTAGCGGTTTTATATGTTGATGAAAACTACATATAAATGATGTAATCTTGCCAAATGAAGTCTTCCTTACAGTTACAGGCCGGTCTTTGTCTTCAAATTCTCGTGGCTCAGTGAAGTATAAGGTTTTGTTACGTTTTGTATCTAGTCCAAGCATTGCATCGTGTATTTATTGTTGTCTACTGCGTTTATTTCACTTCTGGTCACTGTTGAAAAGGCCATTGATTGTTTATTTAGTAAGATCTAGGTTGATTGACGTGAAAGGCGCAGTCGCATCATGAGATACCAATTTTTCGCCATTGTCTATGGTTAAGGCCTCTCTCTCTTTTATTCTCTTCAGGAATTCAGGTGTTGAATTAACTGAATGTTGAGCCCCACTGACAAAATGTTTTTACATTTTTTTATAATTCATTTGATAAGTTAAGATTGCACAGAAATCTAAAGTGTTAGCATTTTCAGTATTGTAGTATTATCCTTTTTGGAGTAACCTTTACTCTGTGGAGGATAGGACTCATCGATTGGTTAATGGAGGGTAACCAGTTTCATGTAAACTAGTCCGAGATCCTGATCGAATTCTGTAGATTATTTTGTAATGTGGCCACCAGACTAGGAGACTTAGCATCACGGTGCACTTTAATGGATGTTAGTTGAGTGGAGGCAATCGACAGGAAGCCCTGGACCTAGGCTTCGTGCTTTTGAGCACTTTTCAGCAAGGCGTGTCTACAAGCTGTACGGAACTGGTGTCCCACCTGAGATTCTAGCCTAATCCAATCCTACAGGAGGCTGATGGTGGCTCGAATAGCTCAGTGGTAACGTCCCTGCCTGCTGCACTGCATGACGCGAGTTCGAACTTCAGGCAGGATATCAGTTTCGTAGGGGTTGCAGACACGCCTCGCCAATGAGCTCCAAAAAGCACGAAACCCAGACTTAGGGTTTCCTCTCGATTACCTCTATCCAAGTAACAGGATAAAATTCATTCTGATAGGTTCACTAGCTATTCTCCTGTCTTGTCTCTTATGCCGTTGATTTGAGAAGCAATTAGTTCTTCCTAGTTTTATCTTCTCTTTCCCCCTTTAATTTTCGTTGGTACATTTATGGCAGTGGTGAATCTGTTCTTCGGATTAGTTCTCATATTTTTCGTTAAGTAGTGATTATTTCATTGCACTTACTGAGTCTGTTGTATGCATCTCCTATCACAAATCAGACCGTTTTTTTTTAAAATTATAATTCAGCGATCTTCCTTCCAGTCGGACGACTGATAGATGGTCTATATTTGGTGGTGGTGGGGATGTACTTTAGTAAATAATCATGTAAGAATAAAAGTTATTCTGAAATGGAAGCATTCCAACCAAAACAAGTTCTTTCATCCCGATACGTAAAGAAGCGTATTGCGTTCCAAAGAATTTTGAGATTGTACGGAAATTTTGTAACTCAGAGTGACAGAATGACAGAAACAATTAATGAATTACAAATGTCTTTCATGTGCCTATCTTCGTTCTCATTCATTGACATTTTTATTAAGCGGACTATGCTGTTAAGGCCTCGTACTTATCTTGCTACATACAATATGACTGTGCATTATATGGGCTAATAGTTCCACTTCGTCGTCTCAATGAATCAACTGTAGGATTAACTTTCACACACGCAGTAAATCGGGGAACAACAACAGTCAGAACTAGCGTTGGGTATTTTCTGCGCTCCGTTAATTCTAGGATCCAATAGTGAACCCGAACTGGGGTTAAAACCAGTAACGATGGTCAAATTGTCAAGCCAGGGATATAACAAATGATAATTTGTTGTTTCCAATTGCTATACTATTTGGTTGACAGAGATCTATGTTGAAAGCATACAATAAGGGAGGCGTCAAAGTCAGCAGCATCTAGGTGAGCGAATGAAAAGCTGCAGTAATACCCTGGACCTCAAAACATCTATCGTCAACAGATTTATGGTGACAGTTCATTTCCACTGGAATATCTATACATCCCACAGACTAAAAATATTTGCAAGAGTGTGATGTTGACATGGATGGTAGTAACTTACAGAAAACAGATGACAGTTTTTACTTTCAAGTCAATCTACTGAAATAATTATCTCATATATACTCTAAGTAGTTAATCAGGTAGGGTTAACGAAATATAAGGAACAGAAACCACTTACCAAGATAATCATCGAATTCTGAATCAGGTACTGAGTCAGTATCACTGTCATCTTCATCATCGAGTTTGCGTGATTGTTTAACAGTTTTTTTAGCCTGGTATTCTGGACGTGCTTCCAAAAAATTGAAATATCTGGGTGGTTGGAAGGGGGGGCAAACAGAGAATGAGAAATACGTAACTATTCAATGTCAGAAGCATAAACATTCTTTCTTTTTACTAGAAAATAAGCTTACCGTCAGGTACACTTTAGCGTCAATCACTTTATTGAGGAAGAACCTCATATTTCACTGAGCCGTGAGAATTAGAAGACGAAGATTGGCCTGTAACTGTAAGGAAGACTCTTCATTTGACAAGATTACATTATTTACATACAGTTGTCATCGGCATATAAAACCGCTAGGTTAGAAGTTTGATAATTATTTTGATTGGTTAATTGGAGGACAAAATTGTGCAATAAGGTTTTTCCTGACCATACGGAAACATGAAACAAAGGTTGAAATCCAAAACTTCTACCTTAGTGGCTGATAACTTAGAATGTTGGTTTCGATTTAAGTCGTTTCCTAGCGAATTCCATAGAGCAGTCTAGTGATTAGTTCAAATTAGACCAGGTGTAGGTATAAATGGAATAGTAACTTGGTCGTATCACAGTGTTTATCACTAAATTTGTCACCGATATTCTAAACTTTATACTAGTGTGTACAGATAAGCAGATCGTTTCAAATAATTGGCTTACAAGATCATAAGAAGCTGATACAACGCTGTATCGCTTCACAACAAAATACTTGCTAACAGTAAACTAGAAAATATTTTACGAGTAAATAATTAAATTAAAAAGGAGGTTAATCACTACAGTTTGCAAAACAAAGAATCCCATGAATATACAAATCCTAAATATGAAGGACAAAATCTCACATAAGTAGTTCTAAAGTCGATGATGTTATTTTGAAACACTGGTTTCCATGGTTTGAGCATGTTTACGAATGTCACTTCAGCAGCTCACATACTACTCAGTATTCGTTAACCTTAAAATTGGTGAGAAGTAGAAAATTAAACAGTTGGTAGCGTGATACCGTGGAATAAGAATCATTTCCATTTCGTTAGTGTATGTGGGTGCATTGTGACTCACTGGATGGGGTCTGAAAGATCATGAAACTCAGTAGCCCAGGACATAATTATATACATCTCAGAAACGAAATCGGTTATGCTGCAGTGTTCTTGTTTCCACTAATATCGAAAGGTAGGACAATCGACAAGGATGCACTCAGTAACCACGTGCGTGTTTGTTCAGCAGGCGATAAGTCACACTTATTGTGATAGGGCCAATCACAATATCTGGTTGCCCAAACCTCGGTAGGCGGAGGGGAGTTCGAATCCATGACCCACTCGCTGAAGCTCCTAAAATAGGAAGAAAGTAGTGAACGAGGAATTTTACCATTCAGTTACTTTTCTCGATCCAATATCTATCTCCTGTATATCTGCACAATCTTATATTTAATTTTATGTGGCCCATTTCTCCGTCCCTATATTAAACTAAATTTACGTTTTAAATGAATAATTTTTTAGGATCTCGTAAACAACAACTTCAAATACGTTTACTTCATGAAAACGTACAGATAAATTACAATGAACAGAGATGTTTAAACGCTATGAAATCCCGATATCAGGAAAATGCCTAACTCAACAAAACAGACAATTTCATTATATTAGAGTAAACACAAAAGCAGGCCAAAGGAAAGTCAAAGAATATATCCAAAAGTCTTACCAACACTGTAAAAAGGATATAACCTTGTACATGGATTTTGAGAATGAATAATAGGTCTATCTGATTTCGGACAGCTTATTTTAGTTAATAGAGATGTTATAGTATGGAATAAGACTGTCATGATCTGCACAAAAAGCCCCAAATCCCTGAAACCTTTTACGACTAATCATGTTGCACCGAAGTTTCAAGAGAAAGCACGTGATATAACGTGTAAATATCAGATTGGTCAGAAAGGAAAAAAACTAATGGAATATTCTAATATAGAATGAACTAAAAATGGTCAAGGTCGCCGTAAATATATGTAAACCATTGTATTTTGTACACATTTTGACATTAGAATACACCTCTTATCTTACTGTTTTTTTTATCGAGAGAACTGAACGACCATCAAGGGGTGGGATCTAAAGGTTAGTGTTCAAGAGACCAAGTAGTCAGTATGAAGATATAGAAAAAAGTACTTTAATGATTTATTCCCTACATTATAGGGACTATATTTCAGTAGCAGATCAAATCTTAATGTGGCGCTAAAACAAAGTCACTAAACTTTTAATAAAAGATATATCGAAAGCGGTAAACTGCAAAAAACTTTATTAAATCTTATAAATAACTGTTTTCTTTCTCAAATTCCTTCTGAGATCTGCAGAACCTGTACACTGCTGTCAAATTAGCATTAGCGAATTAAACTTGCTACACTCAGCAAAAAAAACTTAACTTTTAAATTTCATTTTAACGTAAAACAGAACTCACTTATGGAAAAATCGTTCGTGAGCAGGAACACTGGTCACTGGAAGTTGTCGGAATGCGGAACTATCCACACTTATGGAACGTGGCCCAGACAAAGGAGCTTCCTTTCGTTGTAATAACCTTCCAGGTGCAGTTTCTAGGAACGAAATCATAAATGAAAGAAAATAACCAGTTTCATAAAATTTTGTATGTCCAGGCATAGATTTCCCTGAATAGATGTCTATATTACTAATCTTTACAAAAGCCCATTTAGATTAATTTGTGTTTGGAGGCAGTAGAACAGATTAAAAACACTACATACTGTTGGTTGGGGTCAGCGTGACAAAAGAAACCAGTGGTTCCAGACTCTATGTGATATAGCTCAGAATCGATCTCAGTAGCACAGATGTATCCACACATTATCCTCATCTTAATAGTTATACTGGAATTCAGTATTTTCTTACTCTTACCTTCTCTTTTTTTACTACTCTTCTCTACTTTTGACTAATTCTTCTTTCTGACTTGATGTGCTGATATGAAGCATGGCAACTTGGACTGTTATGAAGTAATGCCTCGTCCTACGTTGATGTTGATGACATACCACTCCTGTGATATGCAACGTGATATTCACACTATTCGGGACTTAACATATACTGTAAAACTTAACTTTAGATAACGCTTTTACAAGTTTTCAGACTATCATCAGCGTTAAGCGAAATAAATTAGGACCAATTGCACTGGGCCAATGTAACCACATCTTGTTCTCATCTAAGTTTTGAACAGGCTGTATTCTAAGCCGTTCTATTCCCCCAAACTGACTTGTTTTTTTTCCTTTTTTTTAGTCTCTTTCCACTTTTAGTAACATTATTTTCAGTTATACGTTGCTCCCACCTGTCTGTTTTAGTCTTCTTTTTGTTTTCTAATAGTGTAATTACCACGATTACACGTATCTAGCTGAATCAACCCACTACTGAGTACAATTTAAAGGTACCTAGTGTATCTAACCATAAAGCTTTGTCAGTGAATACATTACCCAAAAAAGTATAATAATAATAATAATAATAATAATAATAAAGCTTTCTCACTATTGAGTTCCAAAACCAACGACAATTCAGCACTTATTTCAATTACATGCAACTCAGCAACTACGGATAGGTTCATGAGTTAGGCTGTGAGCCACAACTACCATGAGCACTCAAGAAAATCTATGGTAGCCTAAACCTTTGTAACTTAACCACACTGTGAGCCCATGAAAGTTATATGCATAAACTAGTTGAACCACCAGTTCACTACAGTCAAAAATAACGAAGTAAAGATACTATTACTAAACAGTTTGGATAGTTAGAGACCACTCAGGCTGATCTGTAGTATTTCGCCAGCCAGATCAGAGTGATCTAAACATCGGAGGGTTGTTTCACTCGTTTGGAGCCGAGCTCATCAGCAGTGTATCCAGTTGTGAAGATTATCAACGTGGACCGTGCAATTTGTAAATCATTTACAAATGGATTATGCAATAACAAAGTAAAACTTACTCCGAACATTTCCAGATTCTGATTTTAGTTGATTCAATTTGTTCACCTTAGGTTTTTTATAGGCAAATCGATCCAAGAAATGCATCGTTGCAAAATCTGTAAACGGATCTCCAGAATATTTTATCGGCAAATTATTTAATAGTGAATTAGCAAATAAGTTGACAGTAGGATGAACATGTTTTGACAGAAGACTAAGAGACCAAACTAAACAGCCTGCAGCCTTTGCGAATTTTGGTTCACGTGCTGTTGGATTATAACCAGAACCGAACAGGTTATTTGAATTTCGTTCTTTTTTCAATGCACGATGATACCATGATGCTGAAATATGTTCACCTGTTACTGTAGACTTTCTTGGTGATACATTTTCTTCGTTTATCGCACAATTCTGTACAATTTCACCATCATCTTCAGAACACGGTGCATCACTGAAATGTTCATCACTGTCGTCGGAGTCCTCAAATTTTGCCAAGTTTGACAACTGATTGATCGGCTAAACATAGATGGACATAATGTTAGTTAAGCAGAATAAAGATATATAAACAGAAAGGTATATTGTAATCGTAATGCTAACAACTCCTTGAATGTATAGGTGTACACCAAGATCAAAGAAAGTATTGGCTTGGACGGAGTCTCATTTCATTGTAAAACTTTTTTCTAATAGTTGACTTTCCATCTTTGAGAAAGATGAATATAAAACATTGCACAGAAGTTTATCAGTTTAAGTTGTTACCATTTACACCAGAGCACAAAGAAACGAAAAACAGTTGAATGAGATTAAGATAAAAACGAGGCGTAAGGGAGGATGTAGATGAAAGTTAAGAAGTTGCTACAGATTTAATACATCGACGCCACTGTTTCTGTCTTTAAGATTCTCTAGCCATTGATTACTTACATCTCTAGGACACAATTTGGTTAGAGTCCGATAGATTCCTCAGGCCACCCTACAAGCTTTTAATGAAACTTACCGACTACAAACAAAGGTTTCAAGATTATTAATAATGACCAGTTAATTCGGTCTAATCAGCAACGAGAAACTACTAGTAATAACACTAATAACTACACTCACTGCACAAACAGTAACTATCGTGACTCATTAGCTTAATGGGTAGCGCTCTGGCCTTTAAAGCGATCGGTTTTAAGTTCGAGTCTCGGTGGGAAACAGTACCATTCACTAAGAGGCAGGCAAATCCAGCTGACGAGTCCCAGACAGGACAAAACACGGGTGCTGGATTCCACTCCTAGCCAGTGTTTATTATTACCATTAAAATGAAAACTGTTCTCGAGTCATGTATAAATATCCTAGCACGAAATAGAAGCAATGGAATTCGTCTATCACCCTATAACTAAAAAGAAAGTCCTGTCACTGAAACATGTTAATGTTCAATCTACATCATCAAAAAGCAGAACTAAGAAAAATCACTTGTTTTCAGTAACTTTGACAGTATGTCAAACACAAAATGGATTGAAACCATTTACCAAACAAACCAGACAAAAATACAGTGTAAGATAAGCAATTTACCGGGATTATTAAGTCATGTATGAAGCGACATTTATTGAGTAATACCTGCTTCAAAATTTCACTTAGATTACCAACCATATTACTGTACCGAGAAAGTTATGCTAAAATCATGTAAATCTGTCTTGTTTGGTAACTGAACAGACTCAACTTAAAATGATCACTTCTAATATGACTAGAACTGTGGGTGGCATTGTCGCATCCAGAAACAGAATTAGGACCTATACAAAGGGGTGAACATTACTCACCTAACCATTTAGTTCTACGAAGTAGATTAAAATGAAAACACAAACTAATTACAATGATAATGATAATGATGATGATGATGATGATGATGATGATGATGATGATGATGATGATGATGATGATGATGATGATGATGATGATGATGATGATGATGATGATGATGATGATGATGATAACGTTAAATTAAACCGGTAATTACTTACTAACTGTTCCCCACTTGTCTGAGAAGCAACTATAAGGTTCGGTTTCGATGTAGACACCTGTATTGAAGATTTCATAAAATGAAATGCAAACAACGTAAGCCAAAGTAAAATTAAGCAACATTACAGACATTAAGAAGTAAAAGATGAATCGTCTCAAAACATCATTGTGAATTTCTTGTTTACTTTAAATAAATTCAGTTTGTCCGCCAGTGAATACTACTATGGGGTCCAATGTTAATAATAATAATAATAATTATAATAATAATAATAATAATAATAATAATAATACTGTGATGCATGACAATAAGTGTGAACATGATACGCACCCGTATCCTTCAAGCATGAAGTTGCTAACATTGACACAGATAACATCTTCAAAATGATTTCGTATTTTTGAAAACCTTTACCAACCTTCTTGTACTCTTGCTACCCAAATTTTCATTTAACCCTTAATCATTATCATTCAGTGAAGATACTAGTCTGCCAAACCACGGCTATCTCAGATAGTCAAAATCATAATCAATATGATGCTCCCCCTCTCTGATTCAGTTACATTTGGATTTGAATGAGAAGTCCTGACTAGGTAGCCAGTGTGAGTACGATCAAGCGGTAGTGACGCGTCACGCATTCACATTGCAGTTGGGCAAAAGACTCGGTGATTGAACCGGAAAAAAATCTAGTCAGCAATTGGGCCCCGTAGATCAGCTGGTAGAGCGTCGGACTGGAAACCCAGTGGTCGCAGGTTTGAATCGTGCTGAGGCCCAAATCTTCATATTACCTCCAGTCATCACCCAGTGTCAATACAGGTCTACCAAACCACGGCTATCTCATATAATCAAGTTTACAAGGAGGGGGAGGGGGGGACTATCCAAACAGGCATATTATCTAACTTCCCAGAAATACAACCTGAAATGCCTAACAGTTAATCGTTTTCAATTACCCTGTTTAAAAATTTTAAAAATCCTGGGGAATTCGAACTCGAAAAAGCTGTTATACAAATGGATATTGTCGCCTTACACATAATCAGTTCACAAACATCTAAAAAAAATCATTCAGTTTCTTTCTCTTTTGTCTTGTTCTTATCAACTAGTGATTGGGTTGAACAACAGATTAAAGTACATGGATACTAGTTTCAGCGTTACAGTTGATGTGATCACTAATGAATTGTGTATCGTATTTTTGAATCCGAATCATACTACTAACTATGCAAAAGTTCAATACTTTGGGGATTTTTTTCATTCCTGAAGATTACTTTCCTCTTCAAAAATGAAATGATGGTTACATGGAAGTTACTATATGACCAGTGAACACGTAAAACAATAATAGAGAGAAACACTCAGCCACCTTGTGCACATCCGTGCAATAGGCAATGAGCTACACCCATTGTACGGGGGCCAGTGATACTACCTGGCTGCCTAAACCTCGGTAGGTGGAGCGGGACTCGAACCCTTAATCTAATGGTTGAGAGATTATCTCCCTAAACCACGGACCCACAGCTCCATAAAATAATAATAATAATAATGCACATGAAACATGTCTGAATGTTAAAATCTACCGGTGAATAAAACAACTTACTTTGTTGAGTAGAATCAAACAACCTATAACGAAACCAGGATCTGTGTGTGAAACACACAGCTGAAGGATTCTGTGAACAAATGCAGAAATTCTATCAGTATCATCATCAGCTATCATACTTTGATAAACTAGACGAAGAAGGGTTGGATTCCTTGAACTCTGGTGTATCGCAGGATCTAGTAACTTCCGATATAAAGCCTAGAAATTAAGATAAGCAACAGAGATGCAGAGATTTGACTCTAGCGGTCAAGTGAAAAATAATGTACACTGTTTATAGATGATGAGTTGAAGTTATAAAGATAAATTTATGCTCATAAATGAAAGATACATTTCATCCGTAGCTATACCGTCCACATCACAAGCATAGTTAAGACGTATTGTGAATACGAAGCATTCTGAAAAATGATTGACTGGTGACTGCTTTCTACTACTGCACGAATAATAGTCAGTGTGTGAATACTCAAATAAATACTTAGTGAAATAAAAACAAACGCTTGAATTTTGTTTTTCTGATCAAATACAAAGTACAATGGCTTTGAATACTCGAGATCAAAAAATATACTGCCGCATGAAGTGATGTGATTGGTTGAAAGCCAGTCATTGTAGTGAATGCCCCCAAAAAATAACATCCAAAATATATTAGGGACCGCAAAGCTTAGTGGTGACATCCCTGATCACAGTTACGGGTGGTGTGGATTGGAATCCGTAAGAGGATGATCAGTTGTTTTATACGAGGTTGTAGAAACACCTTGCCAAAGACTGTCTGTGAACAGGATACCTCTAAATATCTAACATCAAATAAAGTTCACCATGACGAGTTTTCTAGCTTGGCGACGATAATTACAAACTAGACTAATCTCGCCGAACAAAATGATTATTCTAGTAGTGTTTTTCTTTCAGTGTGCAGTAAAAGATTGGTAATGAAATCGGGCAATGCGTAGTCAAATAGCTATGCACAAGCTTGTGCACAACAGCACCCACCAATATGTACTTTATGAGAGCTGTCGATACTAGTTAGGATAAAAGCCCATGACTCACTAATTAAAAGTCAACTACCTTGGACAAATGAACCCCAGATTCACATCTGAGAATGAAATGCGTATAGCAGGGTTGAATATGAATGCCAGACAAGCTAATAAGGGATTTATCACTGAGATGTTTACTTATCTAGATATGTGAAGTCAGTTAAAAGAAAAACGTTGAAGAAATCTACAAGTAGTATAATCAAAGAATTGCACAAGTCTATAAAATTACTGATTATTGATTCCAATATCATTGAAAAGTGTAGATTCACAACCAAGAACTTGCAACGTAGTACAAAACTAATGGTTGCAGACTGAACAACTCTATTCAAAGTAGACAATCCCAGCTTTTGCTTTCTTTACTCAGAGAAAGGTCTAGTCAGACAAATCAACAACCCGTGATATAAGTTCACTACCATTATCAAATACTTTCGTTGTTCGTTTCGTATTGGGTTTTTTCAAAACATAAAAGGGAATATCTTATTATTAGGAGGTAATGAAGGTATATTTGAATGGATCTAATGAAACTTCTATTTTCGTCTCGCTACATCGTATCTTCCTTACTCTCCTTTTTGTCTTCATATAACTTCAGTGTGTTATTTCGTGTGGTACACCTCGTGATGCCTCTAACATACCAAGTTAGAGCTGTGGCTCGGTGGTTCAGGGAGACAACCGTCAACCGCTGGGTAGAAGGCTTGAACCCCACTCCACCTACCGAGGTTTGGGTAGTCAGGTAGTATTAATACCCCTTGCACAATCGGTGTGGCTCATTGCCTACTGGACAAATGTGCATTAGGTTGCTAAATGTGACATACCAAGTTTATGTTTTGTATAAATTTTAAAACATCTACACTGTTGTTGAGGTTAACATCGTTTTCACTCAACAAAGGTGAAAAGAGCAAAGCAAATCAACTACTGAGATGCTTAACGAGGCTATTCTTAGAAGGAGAAAAATGCTACAGTAAGAAAGGAAACTGACCTGATAATAACGATCACGTATAGCCACATGATGAATTGAAAGTTGAAAAAGTACAGACAGAGCTTGAACAGATACCGTGAACCCAGTTGTGTGGACAAGTCGGAACAGATCATTGATCTCACTCACCATAGATGTAAATGCATCTTCTGACAACAGGAGTATTCAAGCAAAAAAGGCAGTTGAAGAGGGAGAGAACATCAAAGTCGTTTAGCGTTAAGATAATTACATCATAAAAGAAACCTGGGAACTATTTAGAACTTCGAAAAGTACCCACCCTTATCCTGTAGGTTAGTAATAGAGTCGCACAAAATTTATTTATTGAAAAGAATTTTACACATCAAAATAAACCAACGACTAATAGTGAAAATAGGTTTATAATAATAAGAAAAGTAGTTGTTTTATTGAGCAATAGCAAAAGAAAATGTGAGCATCATTCTCTTTTAGTTATGAAATTTACATGAAGCCTAAAAATCACGTGGAGACTTCTGCACTAACCTGAGTTGCGCCTATTATAACACTAACGATACTCTTTGGTTGCCTCAAGATTGGTAGACAGAGTGGAGTTCAAATCAAAGAATCACTTGTTATCATATAACACACTGAAAGACGCAAATGTCGATGAACAGCAGAAAAGTGTTCACTAATTAGTTGTGTCACTTCATCTAAAATACTCAATACTAAAAGACTCTATGGGAATTAGAACAAACGAACAGAATATATAATTAGTCGTTTACATTATTTATGTAATTAAGAGGCTGCAGGCGAAAGCACACAAGACAGGATCACCCTTCCTACTTTTAAGAATCAGTAATATGTAGCACCATGAATTGTTATCTGATCATTTAGTTCTCATAGAAATGGAACTTATCATTGCTGCATTACAATCCAATTTGCTACGACCCACATCAGTATGTCAAAATGCAATGTAACAAAAAAGAAACACAATGAAATGGTGAAGATATAACGAATTGTGGCAAGAAAGACAGGAAAATATGAATTTCACTTGAGTATAATAAACCTCGCCTGGTTGTTGATAGTGGAGCCTATCTCTGTAATGGTAGATGAAAATCCATGCCCGTCTCATGATTTGCAGCAAGTTTAAATAAGGTTATGAACATCAGTAACTTGGCATGTGGATCATGTAATACCAAATGCTATTTAGGACCTCGCCTGGTTAGCTAGTTCACCAGTTACTAGCGTTATGGGAACCAGTCTCCTCCAGGATCATAACAGTAAGGTTCGACTCAAAAGAAAGGAATGTCACAATCATACAATGCTACACTATGCACCTACAAATAATTCAGATCAAGAGAAGAAGGAGGAGTTCTACGGACAACTGCAGTCAACACTGGACAAGACCTTGGTTGGCGACAACAAAATTCTGATGGGCGACATGAATACCAAACTGGGAGCAGACAACACAGGAAGAGAACTAACCATGGGTCGAGAAGCGCTCGGTGAGATGAACGAGAATGGAGAATTGTTTGCGGAATTCTGTGCATTCAACAATTTGGAGTCAGGCACTGTGTTCAAGCACAAGGATATCCACAAAGCGACATGGATTTCACCAGATGGACACACTAAAAATCAGATCGGCTTCATCTCAATCTCAAGAAATTTGAGTCACAGCCTGCTTGACACAAGGTCAAGAAGGGGAGCAGATGTAGGCTCAGACCACTCATTGTCTAGTGCAAGGAACCTTCCAAATCAAGATGAAAGCATTCAAGGAAGTTGGTGATAGACCACAGTTGGAGTAGAACACCCAGAACATAAACTGAAGGACGAAACTACAAAGGACATCTTCACTTCAGTCAGTCATCAGGACAAAATGGGAGATATCGAGAAACATCCCTGAAGAAACCTGTGTGGATGAGCACTGGAGGTCTTTGGAAGAGATGTGGAAAGAAACCTGCATAACCGTATTAGGACGGAAGAAGAAAGGAGATAAGGAATGGATCTCGATGGACACATGGAAGCTGATAGGGGAGGGAGAGGTGGGTGGTGATGTCGAAGCGGAAGATAATAATAATAATAATAATAATAATAATAATAATAATATTTATTCCTGAATATACAGGCACACATCATTTTTACAGGTATGACTAAGCTTATATGCAAATTACATTCATCTTCATGGAAGGTAATCTGAATCCCTGTCCGTTGTCACTATAAGATATAAGTGCTGCATGTTCACATGATGGAACATCCCAGCAGAATAAGTATGCAGAAAATTTACAAGTTGGACCGGTGCAAGGATGAACAACGAGGAGAGGAACTGAGTACAATGTATAAAACACTACACTGGACAAAGAAGTGAAGAAGAGTGCGCGCAAAAACAAAAGACACTTCCACCACGCATTGGCAAGTGAAGCAGAACAGGCCGAGGTCTGGTAAAAGAGACCTGACAACATTGTATCAAATAACCAGGTCACTATCTGGGAAGAGATCAACACAGATGAAACCAATAAAAGATGACGAAGGAAATCTAGTTACCAAAGAGGAGAAACAAAGGAAACAATGGGCTGACCACTTCAAAAAACTCTTGGATCGACCGCCACCTGCAGCCCAGCCACAGAATCACCAGTAAACACAAATCCTCCAACAAAAGTCGAAGTCCTGAGCGCCATAAAGCTACTGAAATGCGGGAAAGCAGCAGGACCAGATGGGATCCCGCCAGAAACACTGAGAACAGACGCAGGAACAACAGCGGACATGCTCACACCACACCACTATTGCAGAAGGTCTGGAAGGAAGGGAAGGTACCTGCCCACTGATTGGAAGAAGGGCTACCTTGTCAAACTCCCGAAGAAGGGTAACCTAAGTCTTCGCAAGAACTGGCGCGGAATCACGCTCCACTCCTGTCCACCGCAAGCAAAATATTAAGCCGCATCAGTCTGGAGAGACTAAAGGATGCACTGGATTCAAAACTGCGACCCGAACAGGCTGGCAAGCTTCAGGAAGTACAAATCGTGTGCGGACCAAATTGCAACGCTACACTACGCATCATCATAGAACAGAGTATAGAATGCCAGTCAACTCTCTAGCTCACTTCAACCTCATCGACTTGGCAAGGCCTTCAACAGCGTCGACCGAGAAGTAGTTTGGCAGGCAGCTGTTTCAACACTACAGTTTTAGTGTCACAAACCATTATCAATCTCATTCAACAACTATATGAAGACGCCACATGCCAAGTAATTCACAATGGAAAGCTCAGTGACGCTTTTGAAGTGAAGACAGGGGACAGGAGTAAGACAAGGCTGTCTACTATCACCCATGATATTCCTGATTGTAGTGGACTGGATCATGCAACAAACAGTGAGGAGCGAGAAGAGGGGGATACACTGGCTGGACCGCGGAAAAGGTCCTAGAAGACTTGGATTTCGCCAACGATGACTTGTGTCTAATGTCGCACAAACTTGAAGATCTACAGGCAAAGGCTAACAAGTTGACAGAAGAGGCAGGGCAGCGAAGACGGGACTTCAAGTGAACGTAGAGAAGACAGAGGTGATGAAGATACCCAAACAACAACACCACCACCAACAACAAGCTCCAATCACCATCAGCGGGAGAAGCTTAAAGGAAGTAATTTCCTTCACCTATCTAGGAAGCACTGTCCCAACTACAGGCGGCACAGATGAGGACGTCAAAGTCAGGATCGGAAAAGCAAGACAGGCACTCATTAACCTGAAATCAGTATGGAGATCTTCTGCACTGCACTCAGCATGTGGAACAAGATCCGGATTTTCAACACCAACGTCAAGTCAGTGCTTCTGCATGGCTCAGGGACTTGGTGCGTTACGAAAGGGATTTCCAAAAAACTACGGACTTTCATCAACAACTGCCTACGCTGGTTCGGTACTGAAGATTAGGTGGCCAGAATGATAAGAATAAGCAACAAGGAACTCTGGAAACGAACTAACCAAGAAGCTATCGCTCAACAAATATGCAGCGGCAGGGAGTGGAGGTGGATTGGATTGGGCATACACTGAGAAGGCCGACTGTGGACATCACGTGCCAGGCCAGATACTCGAGTGGAACCCAGATGGGAAGCGACAAGTTGGGCGTCAGAGGTGAGGGTGACATGGAGGAGATGGTGCGAGGAAGAAATGAGAGCTTGTGGGCTGTCATAGGGCCAGGTTCAAAAGGCAGCAGAGAACAGAGTGCGCTGGAGACGTGTTACTGAAGCCCTGTGTTCCACTAGGAACCCAAGGGACAAATAATAATAATAATAATAATGGGTATAACCAATCGTTTTGTTTTATCCATTTATATCTTAGATTTCGATTACATTAGAAAGGCTAGTTAACAGGACCGTATGACGAAATTATAAAACCAGTCGACACTATGGTGAAAATAAGGCTAAGAAGTCAGCGGAGGATCTATTGCGCAGAATGAAACTACTTCTAGGTGAGTCAGTGGTTGAATTTAATCCCTAAGACCAGCAATCCCAGTAGGATGTATGGTACTATTAAGGTCCATAAACCAGGTTCTTTTATTAGACTAATAGGAGAATTCATAAACACGCTAAATTACGAATTATCAAAATATTTAGTGATGATACGATGTCCAACTAGAAGTTCAAAATTTAGACTGACTAACTCTTATGAACTCAAACGAAAATTAGACAACTTGCGATTGGATGATGAAGAGATAGTTAGCCCTGATATGCCCAATCTCTACACCAATCTACTAATTAACATAGCTCTAAAAGTAGTTAGGAATGAGCTCAGATGTCACCGGGAGCTTACAGTCAGAGACAAGATACCAATTGAAGAAATCATAATTCGAGTACAATTATTCCTGACCTCTGCAGTTTTCAAGTTTCGAGGGAAAACGTCCATTAGTACGGTCATGACGAAATTAAATAGGAACAATGATAATGGACATCCCTACCGGACACCACTAGTTGTCATCAATTCATATGAGAAATCTTCATAAGCCCTGACACGGCTGCCTGAGTTCAAGCAGAGGGCTTGGTTAGCGTTATATACTTGCTCGGTACTCCCTTCAGCCAAACACCCCCACAACACCTCACGGTCGACAGAGTCAAATGTTGCCTTCAGGTCAAGAAACATGGCAAGTGTCGGCAAGCGGTAAGTACTCTTGTATTCCAGAACCTATTGAAGGGTCGAAATATGATCAATGCACCCTTGTCAGTCTGAAAACTGCATGGTTTTTCCGAGTATGATGCTCTCAAGTTCCAGTTAGGCGTCGGATAACTATGGACCCAAGGATCTTGGGCATGATATTGGTTAAATTGATTCCCCTATGGTTGTCGCAAGAAGTTTCTCTTCCTTCTTATATACTAGAATGATCAATGAAGTAGATTAGTCTGATGGTACTACCTCCGATTTCAATACACCACCTATTACCTTTGTTATTGTAATCAGCAATTTCCTACCTTTATCCTAGGAGACTTCAAATGGTAAACTGCTGCTTTGCATCGTTTCAGGTTCGAAACAGCTTCAGCAAGAGTTGGAGGACCGCCATCTACCTCCAATTTATGTTCAGACTGGATGTTGAGCAATTGAAGAGTTGCTGAGGGCCAGTTGAACTGTTCTTTAAAGTGTGACGCCCAGCGTTCTTCATGACTGTCCTGAAAAGTTACCAGCGTCCCACCATTTTCGGTGATGGTTTCACTAACTATCGTCCACTTCTTGCCGGTATTCTTAATAAACCTAAATAGTTGCCGAGTGTTACTCAACCCCGATGCTTTCTCTATCTCTCTCACTTTCGTAACCTATCACTGCTCGCGATCGACGCGAAGACCATTAGACATTCAGAGCCAGCAGGACGCAGTCTTTTCACACTAATCAGTTCGAAAGGTGTTTGTTAACCACGAGGTGTTGGTTGTCAGTTGCCTTTATCGCTGTTTCTACAGCCATCCTAATATTACCCCCAGGTTTCCTCATGATGAACAATGCTGTGAAATTCAGACTAATGCTTAGATAACTTCTCTTTAAATGCGTACATGGCATTCTCATCTCCTAATTGAAAGTTAAACAAGGTTCACGATCAAAGATAGTTTTAATATCATGTATTATGGGCCCCAAGGACTGCGTCGGATGCATTGCCTGATACAATTATTCGGTACGAATGCAGTCGTAATGTTTTTGATGCGAATAAAAGTAAAGGCGGCAAGTAAACAACTACAAAAACTGTACTTACCAGTAATAAAAGGAACAGTTCGACATAGACCGCTAAGAAGTATGGTAGTAAGCCGTTCAGGAATCTCCTTGGAATTCGTTATTGGGTGAAAAAATGACATGTAAATCTTAACCATTGTAAGAGCCAAAGACTTGACGTCTATGTTGCCACTACCACTCGGGTTCGAACTTTTTTTAAGCTCCAAACAACTCAAAAGTGAAAGAGAGTAGTATTTTGATCGCTCCAACAGGTTAGGGCGAAACAAAAATGACCGAATCTCCTGAACAATTAAATGCATAAGAAAACAAGACGTCCCAGCTACAGAAATATTAGTTTGAAGTTAACACTAACCAATTAAACGAAGCTTGTGTATCACTGCGGATGCAAATTCCTTGCTACGATCCCCAAGTTTGTTAATCATTATACTTAATATCAACTGAAAAAATAAGACAATAAAGGCCTACCGTTTGATTTTCTGATTTCTCAACGAGACTGCCCAGAATACCTAGTTACTGCATTAAAAAATTTAAAAAGTTAACTACCTAGTGCCTTGCGCTTGAAATCACTTCCACAATCACTTAACAAAAGTTGCTGCGAAATGTATAACGATTAAGTGGCTAACCTCCGACGCTTTAATGAATTGAAAATATTTCTTCTTGATTTCATCTTCAAAGTGCCATAAACAAAGGATTTCTTCTTTTGAGGGTGATGTTCCAAGACTTCCCAATACATTTAGTGGTCGTTTTGATATGGGAACCAAAATTCGGTGCTTTGGAATAAGACTACTGAACAGGTGACTAAGTACGTCTTTAACCAACATCAAAAATCTACAAAGACTTACCCAAAGATCTGCAACAATCACGTTTCTTGGATGGTGAAACGAAAGATATCAGGTTTTCGAGGAACCGGGTGGCATACATTGGATAATAATTAACTAGGTATGCCATAGCGCACATATAGTCTTGTCCAGACTTTGTCTTAAGCGCCATGGATAACCATTCTCGCGTGGTTCGATTAAGAGATCCTAACTCTCTAGGTAGTCCATTCTCCCACAATTTCGACCCGTAATTCTTTTCGAATGCAGCACTAGTTTCATCTCTCAGTCTCAAAAGATCCTCTGTTGGTAAAATTGGTCCGCAGCATTCAGAAAACTTTAATATGTTTAGTGCAGCGGACTTACTTTATTTGCAAACCACTTTGCCATGCTTGTAACGCAATTACCCAAAGTTGTTCAAGGTCAGTTACGGTTTCAATTTCAGCTATGAGGATAGTAGGCCAGTTGACCTGTGTTAATCCTTGCAGAAGATATCTCTGTAAAGATTTAATTTCTCCTCGAACGCGTTAACAGAATGTGCTGAGACTACTTGCTGAGGAAAGGATTTCCAGGCGTTGACAACACGATGGGAGAAATACAGATCCATGCTAAGTCTTACGTATCGCGGTTTTTGAATTTTCTTGCGATGATCTCGGAGACAGTCAGCCCTAGCAGAGGTGAAAAGAAGGGATATGCCAGTACCAAAGTCATTATTAAGAATACGGAATGCCACTATGAGATCACCCCGTTTCCCACGGTAAGACAGCGGGAATAAGTTTGGCCGATCTAGTCGTTCCTCATAGGACAGGTTCGAAAGGCCTGGCACAAGTTTAGTACCTGCCCTTTGAACACGCTTGAGTGCGTCAGCATCCTTTTTTGGGCATGGGCTGGCCGCCTGAATGTAGTATTTCAAGTGAGGTCTAACGTAAGTAGAGTAGAGCATTCTGAATATGTCCTGACCAAAACTGTTGAAAGCTCCGGGGATGGACCATAATACGCAGAAGCCCTTTGCTGCGGTTACACTGCAGTTCGCCGAGGTTTTCAGATCACGACTAATAATGACACTCAAGTCTTTCGGTTCAAGGACTGGGATTAGCGATGTAACATCAACGGAATACTGGAAACAATTGCTGTGATCGGTGTGCATTATTGCACTTTTGTTAGGGTTGATTTCCAGGCAACAATGTTTGAACCAACCTACTAGTTCATCTAAATCCGCATTAAGTGCATACCTATCCGTATCACTGGCTCTCCAAACTCTTACATCATCGGCAAATAATAGTACCTATGAGTTGAACACTTTTGGTAATCCGTTGATGTATAATAAGAAAGGAGTGGACCTAGGATTGTTCCTTGGGGAACTCCACTCATCACAGGCTTCCACCCAGACAGTTTCCCATTTACCCTTGCTCTTAGCCTTCTGTCGTACAAAAAGTCCCTAATCCAGGCTTGCAATGAAGCACCAAACCCGAAGGAGGAGGACAGCTTTCCTAGTAATTTCACATACGACACTTTGTCGAATGCATTACTGAAGCCTATAAACATGGCATCCATCGGCAGCTTGCAGTCACGGGCTGCAACCCGTTCCTCTCTTGCGGTAAGGAAGTAAATTAAAGAGAAGTGCCCAGTTCGAAAGCCGTGTTGCTGTGGTGCCAAAAGATTGGTTGATTCAACGTGTTAAAGTACCTTGTCACAAATTATTTTTCTAAAATATCAGTAACCACGCTAGTTCGACTAGAATGAAAGTAGTTAGACACAAGCTGGTGACTATCAGCCCCAAAAACCGGTCCGATTATGACATCTTTTCAGTCTCTAGGGTGGCGAGTCACAGCGAGGGACATGTTAAGCCTATCCGTGATTGGCTCAGCAATGATGTTCACTGGGGAGGACAGCAGCCTTGGATGTAATTCGGCGAGACTTGGAAATTTTCCCTGTTTAAGGCTAATGAGCAGCTGAAAGGCTGTTCCCCTTGTCATGAACATAGTATCTACTAGTGAAGCAGTGCTGGCACCACTACTGAGCACTCCATCGTCATAATCTACAAAGTAAACTTCACTAAAGTAATTCTATAGACATTCAGCTTTGGGCAGGTTAGATTCCGCTGGGCTATCAGACTTTTCATCCGTCTCCAGAGAAGGAATTCCACATTTTCTTTTAGCCCTCCTTCTGATGAATGTGAACAGTCTTTCAGGACAACTACTGGGCATCCATTTCCTCTACTTCAGTTACGTACATGGTTTAGCACGTAGCCATTTTCGAGGCAGGATTGGCCACGGTAAATGACCTCGATGGTAAAGAAGCCTTGCTTCGGCGTCAGCTCCTAACTGGCCACTTCACAGGTCCCACGTCCATGCGCTTTGGATGTGACTTATAGTATGTGGACGTCATCATGGACATAAGGTAGTATACTGCGCCCATCCGTCCTCACGCAATAATGCCTCGAGAGGGGTGGCATGAAATCTGAATCCTTTGTTAGCGGGTTTCAGTAACGGCTACTAGGTCAGGACCTAGTTAACAACTCAGATTCTCGAGGTCTGTCATTTGACTCTTAATACTGCAAACAACAGTGTAGATTAAGTTCGATATGTTGGAAGAGTTCCATGACCCACCCATACGGGCTTCGGAAGTATCCACTTTTAAGACCTCACAACCCGAAAGCCCACTACTTTAGGATCGTTTTCTCCATTAGTCTGTCGAGCCTTAAGTTGGGCGACAGCTCTTTCTTTCATTCGGTCCTCGAGAGGCCAGTCAGGTCGGATGCGGATATCCAAATTTCGTAGTTTGGATGCGTTACCCAAGAGTACATCCGCTTCCTTGTTGCCCAAAGCAACCATTAAAATCCCCTCCTCATCAGGTTTTTCTTCCTTTTTCTTACCTAGCCCGACTACTTTGGATATATGTACTCCTTGAGACTTTTCGGGGAGAATGCGTCTGATAGCCGACTCGACTGGTTTCAGGGCATGGTCATGACCTGTTGAGGGGTTGTTGTCCGATGACTCCTCAACATTACAGAAGATCACACTGGTCGCCGGTGTGGAATCCCTGATTCGCGTGTTGGCGGCCTTCGAGGCCTTCTCAATGGGTTTCATAAGCTTAGTAGCTTCAGTGATGACCTTTGGGGGCTTCTTTGAGTCCCTTCTCGGATAAATCTATGTAGATTCGTTGATCAACTCTGTTAACAGAGACGTTGTCTTTTAGTGAATCCGTAGACAATGTAAGTGGTGCACCATATGCCTTCGGTTCTCTCTTGCTCCGAGTACTCATAGGACTCGGTGTAATCTGACCAGTTGGATCACCAGCGTCCACCGGTCCATTGTGAGATCCTGTATATAAGCAGTAACACCTGCGGTGTCATCATCTGATGCTGCATTGGAATGACAACTACCGCTTCCGCGTGACTGTTTTTTGACCAGTAACATTTTGACAGCTTCCTGGGTTAGGACTGACGGTGGCTTACAGCAGGAGTCACATAAGCAGGGAGAAGCTGGTTTGCTGCAACTCTTGTACACGGTTGGTGCCAATCCGGTACAAACTTTATGGAACCAACATGCGAACCCATCACATTGCATACCTTCTTCAACCGTAAATTTACAGCTGGAACGATCGCAAACATGATTATCGCTAACCATGTTGTTCACAACTCCGTTTTCACTAGCACCGTGTACTAACTCATGTATTCGGTCAAAATTTCGACACAAGGACCTAAGTTGCAACCACACAAAGACCAACTTTGAGCCTCAAAAATGATTAAACTCCGAACACTGGCTGAAGTACATCAATTCGGGTTTATGAGAAAGCCTTTTGTGTGGATTACACAATAAAAGCGGAAAATGTCTAAGGCGTGGAAAAATTCACTTCACGTCTTCAAAGATCGTACTAACGCATTGGTTTGCATGACTTTTCTATGGTCGAACATTAACTTCAATAACATCCAACATCAACGGTGCGAGCAGGGGAAACCAGCAGTTTTTAAGTTCTTGCCTCTACAGCTTGCGGCTTGGTCCTCTTTGTTCATATTCACGTCTTCGGCGGTCACAGAAGTCTCTGCAAGTTACCTGCTGATAGCTTTTGAAGCGATGAGGGCTTGTTTCACAGATTCCTGGTGGGTTGGTCTGAAGAAGCAATGCAGCTGCTGATAGGATCTATCAACCGTTTGCAATTTCCATTTTTGTAAGCACCTGCAGGTAATTATCGGGCGTTATTTAAAAAGCGGTGCCAGAAGCAGTGTGAGTGGGGAATGAGAAAAGAGGAGGGAAGAGTAACTGTGTAAAATAGGCATCACTAGTGATAATATGAACCATTATTGCAGGACGTTTGGAAGGAGGGGAAGGTACGTTTTCTAGAGATCCTCCACACCAACTCCGGGGCAGTAAACTTACCAGCTGATGAATTCCAAAACAACTTCTGCTGGTTGGGAGGGACAACCTCGCATCTGCCGGACTGCCATATTACAGAGGGGTTAAACTATGCCGAGTACGAACCCGAATTAATCTCCAGGGGCTTACAGGACTCACCCAAGAGTACTCAGAGTGTGCTGAAGTTCTGAGCCCCCCACTAGCAAACCTCTTCAGATGCACTTTTCTGAAAGGCAGGCGACCCTCTGACTGGAAACGGATGGCTGTCGTCCCAACATATAAAGGTGGAAGCAAACCACTTGCCTCTAACTATAGACGAATCCCCGTGATCTCTTCAGTTGCTAAGCTCACGAGAAAGCTATAAGTGACCTGTTTCGTGACCACTCACTTAAGAATTCAATCTTAAACAGCCGTCAGCATGGTTTTTCACCTGGAGGGTCATGTAACACCAACTTGTCGGTAGCTTGGAATAGCCGGACTCTCTGCTGGCAGGAAAAGTCTATTCACGTTGGCTCACATGACTTTTTAAGGCCTTTGACAGAGTAAATCATGATATCCTATATAAGAAACTTTAACTCATGGGCGTACACGGAAAGTTACTCAGCTGGCTCAGAGATTATATAATGTTGCAGTAAGGTAGAGTTGGTTCCTCTCTATCTCACTGGCTCACGATGCCGGATGGTCTGCCTCAAGATTGTATTCCGAGTCCGTTACTGTTTCTTGCCTGTATCAATGACCTATCAGCATCCCCCAGTTCTCATTCACTATTATATGTAGATGTCCTGAAGATTTGGAGGGAACCACAGGTGCCAACGGACACTTCGGTCCTCCAATAGGACCTCAGGAAAATTCTTAATTGGACCATAGAAAACCCGCTTCCTCTCATTTCGAAGAAGTCTCGGATAATGATAGTTGGCAAATAAAGAAGCAGTCCCAGATCTTACTCTTAGGATGAAATGAATATCTGTAACTGTAACATGGAACAAGATCTTAGGGTTAAATTAAGCGACACACTAGGAGCTTCAGTCCGCCGTCACCTTGCAACCAACAAGGCCCACAGAGTC